TGGGTCTGTCTGGAGCCCCAGCAGGCAGGACCCCTGCTCTGGACAGAAGCCAGCAGGGACTGCAGAGGGCTGGAGGAGGAGAGCCTGTTGTGTGGGGTGCTGACCCCAGCCCAGAGAGCTGGCACTCATACAAGAGTGTGTTTTATTCATCAATTTCTCTTCTGCTCTAAACTGACTGTTGTGGTTTAACCCCAGCCAGCAGCTAAGTACCCCACAGCAGCTCACTCCCCTAAGCTCCAAGTGGGATGGGGAGGGAATCGGGAATCAGTTATCAGTTATCTCCTTATCAGTTGAGATAAGAACAGTTTAATAACGGAAATAAAGTAAAATATTAATAACAATAGTAATAATAATAATGAGGAGAGAGAGGAAGAAATAAAACCCAAGGAAAAAAAACAAGGGTTACAGTATACAATTGCTCACCACCCCTGATTGATACCCAAGCACCAGTCGGTGGCTCCCAGCCACCTCCCCACAGTTTATGCACTGGGCATGACGTGCTGTGGTATGGAATATCCCTTTGTCTAGTTCGGGTCAGGTGTCCTGTCTCTGCTTCCTCCTGGCTTCTTGTGCCCCTCCTTACTGGCACAGCGTGAGAGACTGAGAAGTCTTTGACTTAGTACCTCTAAGCAACAGCTAAGCATCTCTGTGTTATCAACATTATTCTCATCCTAAATCCAGAACACAGCACTGTGCTGGCTACTAAGAAGAAAATTGATTCTATCCCAGCCAAAACTAGGACACTGACAGTGGGTGAAGTGAAGCTGAAGGGACCCTTGAAAAGGCCAGGTCATGGATGGAGAGGAAAAAGGGCCTGGCAGATGGTGAAGAGCTCTTGAGCAGCATGAGCTGCGGCCGGCTTCAGGGTACAGAATTGTTCCCCTGCTCAGGCTGGGTGTCTGTCTCTCTGATTATTTTGTGTATTTCATCTCTGCTGTCTGTCTCACCCTTAATCTGGGCTCTTCTGTGCCAACAAAATGCTTAGCTCACTCCATTGTCTGAGAGACTAATTTGCACTGTAAATCTGATGCTTATCTTACATGACAGCTTACTGTGGGGTTTATTGCAGTCCTGAAGACAAGCTAACCAGGGATGGCTAGAAAGCTTTCGACACATCATCTGGACTATAGAACAAATCCAACCTATTTCAGCTTGCTGCCAGGTTTGGATGAACAAGGGGTCATCTCTTGTGTTTAGGGTCACAAGGGGTTTCTCTTAACGTTATTCAGACCTGAGTTCATTCGGGGTTTTTATGGTACAGCTTCTGTTCTGAGCTGGAGCTGTTGGGATGCTTCTGGAACAGCCTTACAGCCCCCTGGGGACAGCTCCTGCATCCCTCCTCCCTGCTACCTGTGGGGTTTTCAGGACCACAGGAGTAGCTCAGACCTGGTACAGGCAGCGTGCAAGCACCGGTGCTCCAGTGCACTGCGGCTTCATTGTCTCTGCCTGGCTTAATCAGAAAGAACCTTTGTCCTTGTCTTTCTTCATTAGTATTTCCTGACACTTTCTCCAATATGTTTAGCTGTTTGCTGGCAGAGGAACGTGCCCCTCAGTTGCATCTGCAGTTGCCTCCTTCTCTGTGGTCCCTGGGCTATCCACCTGCAAGCATTCATCGTGGAAGAGATTTCCACACTACTGGTGTTCAGATAACCGGGCAGCTCCAGAGGCCTAAATCCTCTTACAGAGGTAGATAACTCTACCTGGAAACCCCCCTTTGGTATCTCCACCCACTGCCATTTCCATACAGGTAGCCTCAGGTGCAGGTGTACCTGGGGAGAGACAGAAAAGTTACTGCTGCTTTGATATAGCTCTTGGTTCTGCAGTTGTTTGATGCCCAGAGCTTCTGCATTGCAGTCCTCTGGGATGCAAAGGATCCTGCTTCCCCTGAGAGGGCAATGGAAAAACAAGGCCTGCCGTCCTGGCGGTTGGTGTTTATTCTGAGGACAGCCTGATTTTCACTGAGCCCTGCTCTACAGTTGAATGGATTTCTGGATGCCTCTGTTCTTCCCACCCTCGGTCTCAAAACAGAACACAAAATGCTGTATTGGATAAGCTGTGTGCAGCAGTTGGAAGGCTGGCAACTGAACTGGAAATGGAGCCAAGAGGTCTCAGGAGCACTGAGGGAAAAGAGAAAAAGAAATACCCAGTGAGATTGTTGAGGAATAGGCAAGCAATACGTTGTGTACGGGGTAGAAATGTAGCTGCCTAGGCTGCATCAGAAACTGTATGACAAAAATACCTATGAAAGGATGGTGACACCACCTGATTCAGGCTCATGTCCTGTCTAGGTTAGGCTACTGTATGCAGCTTCCTCTGAAGAAGCCCCCCCTCTTTCCTGGCTAGCAACACAGTCAGAGGAATCATAGAACAGTGTGGGTTAAAGGGACCTTAAAGCTCATCCAGTTCCAACCCCTGCCACGGGCAGGGACACCTTCCACTAGAGCAGGTTGCTCCAAGCCCCTGTGTCCAACCTGGCCTTGAACACTGCCAGGGATGGGGCAGCCACAGCTTCTCTGGGCACCCTGTGCCAGTGCCTCAGCACCTTTGTAGTAAAGATTTTCATCCTAAAATCTAATCTAAATGTGCCCTGTTTCAGTTTAAAGCCATTTCCTCCTCCTGTCCCTACATGCCCTTCTAAAAAGCCCCTCTCCATATTTCCTGTAGGCCCCCTTTAGGTATTCAACGACTCTTATAAGAGTCTCCCCAGAGCCTTCTCCAGGCTGAATAACCCAACTCCCCCAGCCCCTCTCCACAGCAGAGGTGCTCCAGCCCTTAGAGCATCTTTGTGGCCTCCTCTGGTCTCACTCCATCAGATCCATGTCCCTCTTGTGTTGGGGGCCCACGGTCTGAATCAAATCACCTTACTTAAACCTCTCTATTAAGTGCCTGGAAGTAAGCAGGTTGAATCTGAAGACATCTTCATTTGTCTCCTAAGATGCCTGGAAAATCCTCCTTTCCGACTGGTAACACGGTGCGGTCTGAGAGCCCCTGGTGTGAGGAGCTGGCCTCCTGTCTGCCCCAGCACTTGTAGCAGAGGCAGCAGCTCTGGCAAGGTCAGGTTGTCCCTCCAGCCATGTGCATCCAGCACCCCAGGGCAGCTGGTGCTTCCAAGGATAAAATCCATGCCCTGCTGCTGCTGCTGAGTGTTTTCTGTCAGACTTGTGTTTGGTTTGTTTAACAAAGAGGAACAAAAAAGCAAGAAAACGGCTTGTTTTCCGGCAGCACTTAGAGACCCCACTGTGTTGTGTGACACACGGACAACAGGAAGATAGTCTCTGCGCCGAAGCATTCAGAGGATAGCTTGGCAGAAGTACACAGAATAACAGATGTGGTGAAGGCACGGCGTGAGATGAGTTAGTAACAGTAAGAGGAAGATGTTTGCTTAGACTGACTGGGTCTGACATCTCCATCAGCCAGGGTGTGTAGTGTGCGAAGGCCCTGCAACTGGGTGAGCAGTTGGGCCAGCCTCCCGGCACTCCCAAGGTCTCTGCTCGCTGGCAAAGCAAACCCACTGCCGACATCAGTGTTGGCTCTGATCTGTTTGGAAATGGCAGTGGGTGGAGATATCAAGGGGGGGGGTTCCAGGTAGAGTTTTCTGCTGCCTGGAATGTTATTAACTCAAGGAAGGAAGCTGCTGATGGGCTGGATAAGCAAAGGGCGTTCTTCTTGGGGAGCTTTAGAAAGGGGGTGACGGGAGCTGGGAGTGTGGTGGGAGGGCTGGGATCTCTGCTACCTGCCATTACCTGTGCAGTGCAGCCTGGCTCCTTCCTTGGGGCGCTGCTCTGAGGCAGTGGCTGGTGGTGACAGGGTCCCTGTGCTGGGCTCTCTGCAGGGGCATGGCTGTTCCGTCGCTTTGTGCAGGCTTTCATAAAGCCATTTCCATTCCTGTCAGGAAATGGGTTGTGCGTTTAGCAGGGGGCTAAGGCCCTCTTGCTGCATCAGCACTGTGCAGTCCCTCTTCCGAGTAGGTAATGGGCTAGAAGGGCTGCTGCTGCTGCTCCAGGGATCCTGTATTCCCAGCTGGCGCTTGCTTCTCTCCCTGCCAGGATGGCTTTGTTGTGCTTTTGCAATTATTAGTAACTCATCTCATGTGCAGCACTGGCGGTGAATCAGGACTCGCAGCATCCAGAATCTCTCACCCCACGAAAAGAGCAGCTCTTCCTTTGCTGCCTGCATGCAAAGCGAGAGCACTGTGTGGAGGCCAGCGCGAGAGCTGTCAGGTTTGAATCCCCTGAGCAGCAGCTCAGAGCCAGCCCTTCCCCAAGAAGTGGTGAGCTGTGAACGTTGTGTCTGCAGTGCTGCAGGGTGCTGCGGTGGCAGCTTGGTGGGTAAGTCGTGCTGGCCTTGATCCAGTTGGCACAGGTAAACCAGCAGTGACATGGTGTAGCAACTTTAAGCACTGTCTTAACACTATTAAATACGTAGCTGAGATCTCCAGAGGGCTTGTACAACCTGAGGTGATGCCTGTGTCACTGTATCTTTACTGCAGTGTGATATCTGTGCTAGCTCAATTACAGTTCTCACAGATAGGTCTGCGCTGTGCCTTAGTCCCTCATCTGACATTAGCACAGACCTGTCTCCAAACAGATGCTTCTGAGGACCTGCAGGCCATGCAAACATCAGATGTTGCTGTATGCAGAGTGTGCTTCCTCTGCTGGTGCTCATCTTTGATTTACTGCTGTTGGCCAACACACAAGGGAGGGGAATTACATCTCTTGTGAGATTTGATTTGCGTTGCAGGACTGAGGCTTGCATGTTTGGGGCTGTAACTGAGCCACCTTCTTCCCTTCTCTGTCACATGGGCAGTTCTGCTCCCACTCCCTACCTCCCCAAAGTCCATGCTGTAACTTGGGATCACCTCGGTTCCTCCTTCAGGTACTGAGGCATCAGGAGCTGCAAGGCACACATGGTGGACAGCCCTCCTGGGCTGGAAGCGGTGTCCAGGGAGAAGGTCTCTGGTATGGACGCTACTGACTTCCCCTTTCCCTGTCTCCCTGCAGATGCCAGCAAGGAGCACCCGCAGCAGCAGGCAGGGGTGATCTGGAGAGTGACGGGCGGCCTGTTCAGTATCACCCGGGGAGCCGTGGGCGCCACGCTGGGAGGAGTTGCCTGGGTGGGCAGCAAGAGCCTGGAGCTCACCAAGACAGCCGTGACCAGCGTCCCCGCTGCTGGCGTCGGACTGGTGAAGGGCAGCGTCTCGGCGGTGACCGGCGGCGTGGGAGCGGTGGCCAGCAAAGTCCCTTTCACCGCAAAGAAGAAGGACAAGGCTGACTAATCCCCGTCGCGGCTCCCTGCGGGAAGATCGACCTGCCCATACTGTCCCCCTACACAGCACCTCTTTGAGTTGGAACCAGCCGCTTCAGGGAGGGTCAAGCACCCGAGCAGACTCTGGCTACAGCCTGCTCAGAGCTCACAGAGCCGCTGTCAATGCCTTTCACTCCCATCACCTACTGGGAACCATCTTTACTCCGAGGGCTTTAAAGGCACCGTTGTCTCTGTCTTGCAGTTTCCTTCCTCCCTCCTTGTTCTTGTAAGCACAGAGGGGTGGGAGCAGGTGTCAGGTTCCATCTGCCTGGAGATGAGGGAAGTAAGAGAGGAGGGGAGGAACTGTGCCTGGCTTGAAGTGTGGGCTGTGTAGTCACATTCAGCTTCAGCTGGGAGGACATCCTCTGAAACACCCCTTCCCTTGGCTCTGGGGGGTGTGTTTTGAGGATCTGCTTGGCAGAGAGCCATAGCAGAAAGTTCCATTGACACAAAGGAGAGATACTGTGAAGAGGGGGAAACTTCCCTCCTGCCCTGCACCTCTTACCTGTTCTTTGCAGGGCCCATCCCACAAGCTGCACCCAGTCACTTACTCCTTGGCTGAATTGCACCCTTCAGAGAAGGAACCCTCAAGCTCAGCAGAGCAGCTCCAGGGATCATGACTCACAGGAGTATGATATGTCCCAGGCCATCAGCTTCTGCATAGATTTTGGTGGTGAGAGGCAGTAGGGTGAAAGCTGCTGTATGTTCCCACTGGGGTAGGAGCTGACAGTGGCATCTGCCAGGCCTCTGTGATGTTGCAGCGCAGGTGGTGATGCTCCACAGAGCTACCAGCCAGACCTTTGGGTTTGACCCCTGAGGTCCTTGCAGTATCTTCACCTGCAACAGGGGCATTTGGGCTCTAGGCCACATCTCCCTCCACAGGCATCACTAGGAACCATGAGCAAGCATGTTCCCAAACACCACCCAAATTCTGCGCAGTGAGGGGTGGGAGGCTGAGAGCATTGCTCTCCCCATCACTCAGCACCCTGGGAGCGGTGGCCTGGGTTTGATAGGGCTGCACCATTTTGGAGGATGCTCCAGCAGCATCCAGCCTGCACAGGGCACCAGCAGCTCCTGGCGCTCTAGCCTGGCTCCTCTAAATGACCATATTGCACCAAATGCCCCCTCAACACTCGTAGTGCTGCAGAAACCCAGACGCCTGCATCCCTCTGTGGGTTATGGCCATCCTCAGCGTGGCCTGTGATGCTCATCATACACACATGCACACACACACATTCACTCGCTCCAAGGTCCCCTGTAATTCTTGGGATGAGGAAAGCCACAGGCTCCACCATTAACTCCTCTCTTGGCTTTGGCAGGTGATGAGCCTAGGTGTTAGGTGTTGGATGCACAGGCGAGTGAAGTGCTGTATTTTATATATATGCATCTGTGTTAATGCGTGTTTCAGTCCACAGGCTTCAGCCAGGGAAACAAAACAGAGGAGTTTCCATTGTCATCTTAGGCACTTCCATACAGTTTTTCTATAGGGTCCTGGTCAAAATAGAAGGCATATTTTAGAGGATGTTTTTCCCTCTGTTGCCCAAGAGCGTAGTGTATTGAAACCAAAGGAATGTGAAGAATCCCCTTGCCCTTGTCTGTGCGGTTTGTTTACTTTCTGCCCTGTCTTCTGGATATTGAAGCCAACTTCCTTGATTTTCATTTCCCGTTGGAGGTCACTGTGCTTCCTGGCTGCTCTCTTGTGCTTAGGACTCAGACATCAGGGAATACTGAAGTACACTGCCCCCCCTCACCATTTTTGCTGAGTGTTCTTGGGCTTGTGAAGCAGTTTTCATTCTGACCTTTATTAAATCCACATTTTGGGCCTGACGTAAGTCACTGCGTCCTGTGCTGGTGTTAGTTTCTCTCCATACCCTTTGCTGGGTAGTCCCTGCTGTTAGCAGTGGAAAGGAGTTGCTGATCTCCACAGTGTGTGACTCTTGCTAGCGTGAGCGCGGTTTAACCTACATCTTTGTTTCTGAAGAGGAAACAGCATTTGCCATGTGCGTGCGTTTCCTCGCTTTGTCTCTTTTGTTCTGGTGAAGGCCAAGTTGACCCAGACGTGTCGGGTTTGTCTCTGAAGGCAGCAGCCTCACAGAAGGATCAGGCCTTGATGTGTGCCTGTGCTTTGTGGGATGCTTGTGGCAGCTGGCAAGGCCAGAAGAAGTCTTGTCTGTGCTTCCTTTGTCTCGAACGCCCTGCAGACCAGGAGCACGGTTTGCTGCGTTTGCGTCTCTGCTCGCTGCTCCTCCTGAGCACATCTCATTTCTTATTCCAGATCACAGGCTGCTCCTGAAGCGAGCTCTAACCCCAGAGCTAAAAGCTGCTTGTGTGTAACTAGCTGTGCTGTCGCCAGCCCTCTTAGAAAGACAGTTCCTTACCAATTAGGACAGAAGACAGTTTTCTTCCTGACTGCCTCTCCCAGGCCTTGGACACAAGATAGTATCTGAGGGGCTTTACTTCACCAGCCACCCCTGGCCGGGTGATGGGAAGCTCGTAAAATCATAGAATGATTTTGGTTGGAAAGGACCTTAAAGCTCATCCAGTTCCAACCCCCTGCCATGGGCAGGGACACCTTCCACTAGAGCAGCTTGCTCCAAGCCCCATCCAACCTGGCCTTGAACGCTCATGCTTTTGGGTAACCAGTATCTCACACAGGCTCTTGCTGGGGGAGGCAGTACATCCTTCCCAAGCTGTTGTGTGCAGGCACTGTGTGTGCAGAGCGGGCATGGCAAATAGGATAAAGGTACATTAAGGAAGGCCATAGGGGTCCTGAGGGTTTCCCATCTTTTTGTGTCAGGTCTTCTGTGCATCCTTGCAGTAAATGGAGTGCAGCCCTCCACTTGTCTGGAACTAAAGGCAGTTAGTCCAAGGAGGATCACCAGGTTTCAGGTGAGAGTGAGATGAGGAGGGACTGGTGACAGGAGGAGGCGAGGAGTGGGAGAGCGAGAAAAGGGGGGGTGGAGGGAATTTGTTTCTTAGGACAAGATCTGCACCAGAGGATGAACACAGCAGAGTTTGTCCTAGGGAAGAGTACAGAAAGGGAAGTGAGGTTTGGGCAGGGGGGGTCTGCTCCATGCCCAGCTGGTGCCCTGCTTCCATAGTAGTGTTGATGCTAGGGGTTTCCATTTGGATAGATCAGTGTGCCCAACGGATGGTCCAAGCGCCAGGTCAGCTTCCTCCTCACCAGCCCAGATCTCCCCCTGGCTTTTGTCATGATGGGGCTGGGTCTTCCCCATGGTGGAGGTGGGATGTGGCCCTACCCTCAGCCCTGTGCCCTGCCACGGCCGGACATTCCCCATGCCCAAGGACCATGCCCTGGATGAGAGAAGAGCCCACAGGCACATCCTCTCCTCCCTTTACTCATTCTTCACTTTCTTTTTAATCCCTCCCTTTGCTTCCTGTCCTGCCCCTGGATGGAGCTCTCCAAAGCTCTCACCCAGACCCTTGTTACACATCCTCACTCGTGTTGGCTGGGAGGGCAGAGCCGCATCTGTCCCCTGCAGCTCCGCTGGCTGGGAGAAGAGTACACGTCTTCCACCCCTCTCCATCCCCTTGTGATGTGTGTGTGGAAAATCTTAACCCACTTCGTTTCCTCTGGGTTCCCCGTTGGCTCTGGTCCCTGTGGGTGGGTCATTTCTGTGTCTCCAATGCAGACCCATCCTTGTGAAAACAACAGCGTGAGTGGGAACGTGGAGAAGGCTACAGAGCTGCTGGGACAGATGCCAGAGCCCAGCTCTGCTTCTGCGGGAGCCGAGGAGCCCTTTGGCAACCCAGATCCATCACCGCAGCCACGCAGTCCTGTGCACGGCGCTGGGCTCCAGAGAACACTCATGTTCTTTATCATTTCATCGTCTGTAATTGGTTTCCTACTGAATTTGTTTGCTTGGTTTGTTTTGCAGTGTGTTCCTGGGAATATTCTGCATCTCTGTATTTTAATTACAGTAAAATTTGAGGATAAAAACCTTGTATATGCTGGCTCTTGTTTCCAATGCGGGGGGAATGAGGAGAGGAAGTGCAGTGAAGGAAGATGTTAGAGATTCCTTGGGAAATCAGATCTCCCCCTGAGGGGTCTACATGAGGCACTAAGCAAGGCTGAGCCTTCATCCCTGCTTAAACTAGGACATGGCTTTCAACGGGGATTCAAAAGCCATTTTGCTGCAGGCGGATTTCCGGATTGGAATGGTAAGAGCAGTTTGGATAAGACTTCTAAACTCTATTTCTTGTGTTGGTTTAAAGACCAGTGTGTGACAGGACTTTTGGGCTGGGGACAGCTGATGCAGTGGGATGACAGCCAAAGATGGGCAATTCCGCCTCTACATCCTCTGTTCCCTCATGCAGAGCCACTTCTTCCAGCTGAAGAAGCGAGGGAAAGCTCCTTTCCCCCACAGCAGCCTGCCCTTTCTGCAGGGGAAAGATGTCAAAGCCTCCCCAGAACCACAGGGGAGCAGCCAGCCCCTCTGCATTGGCTCAGTGGGTGGTGTGTGGAAGGCACAGCACCAGACAGGGTGTCCCGTTGCCTGGGTGGGGGCCAGGAGCCAACAGCGCAGCATTTGTGAAGTGCTGCCGAAAGGATTAATTTAGTAACTAATAACAGGGCAATCAAGCAGTTATTTGGTTGGTGTTTTGCTGCCAGCTGCTTGGTAAGAGCTCTTGAGGCTGGCTGCAGTCACTTCTGCTGCCTGCCCTACTCATCCTCACTCTCAGACACAGCCAGGGGCTTGGGGACGCAGATGGGGAAGTGCCCATCCTGCAGCACATCCGTGCTGTCGCCCTGTTCCTCCTCACAGGGATGGAGCTGCCCGTGTCACCTTGCAGACAGCAGGGATGAATTACAGATGCTCCAACTGCCAGCCCTGAGGAGAGGCCTCAGATACATCACCCCTGCTCACCTCTTCTGCAGCCCAGCTGGAGCACATTGCTATGTTAAGCCAGGCTGAAAAACGCCACTAACAAGCTGCTCCTCCGAGGTCTTTAAAGGGGGAAAAGGATGCTGGAAAATCACCTGAGCTGCCTCATGCAGACAGGGTGCCAGCAGCACCCAGCCTTGCCATCTGTCAAGTAAGAGCTCAGGCTGGAAGCTGGTGGGCAGCAGACCTCAGAAGAGGCCTCTGGAGAGGAGACCTGCCCAGGTAGGGGGCTGTGGTGGCTCAAACAGGGTCCAGTGCTGGGAACGCACAGATGTGTGCAGATGTGACCAGCCACAGCTGCATCCCTTCATGGCTCTCTGCCTGTCTCCAGGAGGAACAGAGCCAGGAGACTGCTGGGGTGTTGCTGTCCTCTGTCCCCTGGGGAATGGCACTGGTGGCTCCCCATCTGCCTGTGGCCTGTGCCTTGAGGGCTGGGCTGTTCAGAGGACTCTGTCCCAGCTGGGTCAGAGGAGCTGCTGAGCTATTCCAGCAGGCAGGGATCAAACGGACCACATCAGTAAATAACCACAGGGTCTCACTTTCAACTTAAACTACTTGCACGTCAATGCACTTGGGATGCAGGCATGCACATGCCCAAGGAGGTGATGGAAGCTGGGGGCTATGATGTCCTCTCCCACCCCAGCCTCACAGCAACTGGGCACACCAGGAGATGCCGCTCTGTGCCTGTTGGTGCATCCACCCCAGTTCAGTCACTTTCAGTTGAATTTCACCCCCAGGGTCAGTTTTATTGCACTTTTTATTTACAGAAAACACAGAAATAAAGCATTAAATGTGTTGGGCTTTTACCAAACCACCCAATCACTTCGGTTTTTCCCTTTTCTTGTTTTCCTTTCGTGATTTTTTTGGCACAAAGAACTATCACAGGTGTTACCAAACCACCATGTACGAGCAGCTGACCCACTGCCCAGCCCAGTAACAGGACTTAAACAGACATCATCGTATTGAGATCAAAACCGAGGAGGTTGTTGCACGTTCAGCTTCCAGTCTAACCTGCTCATTGTGGGGTGAGGGGAGTTATTCTGGAGGGGATGACACCATTCATAAATTACATTTATATTTACTTCTTACATTGTAAAAGTAAACAGTGCAAAAGTACAGTACCCCAGGTACCCTTCGGTTTGGAAAGCTTGAAGGTTGCTTTA